CTCTTTGCTTATAATATATATGATACTTCTGATCAATCATGGTTTTCTTCTCAACCAATTATTCAATCATATCCATCACCATATCAAATTGTTTCAATTATATCTCAATCATTAGAAGAACTTAAAGAAAAATCTGAACGTCCTTGTCAAATTGTTCTTTTTGATGAACAAGAAAAAAAAGTTCTATTCGAACAACTTACACTTGCATCTGATAGTGAATATATTAGTCAATGTCTTGTTTTATTAAGTACATCAGAAAATGCTATTTTACTTGATTATCCACCGGATATTCTTCAAAGTGATCGTCTATTTCGATCACATCCATTGTCAAATGTAAAAAAAGATGAAATTGAAAAAGAATTAAATGAACGGTATGGTGCATCTGGTGATCAAAATAAGAAATCTACAAAAATAGAATTAGCACATCAATTAAAACAATTAAACGATCAAGAACAAGAAAAAACAAGACAAACTCTTATTGGATTACCATGTCTTATTTCTTTACATACAGGTAATTTGCTTTTACAAAAGTTATTTATTAGGTTGATGTTTATTTATAGCTATTCGTCAATCATTTATTGTTCCAACACCTGGTTATTTTGATTTGGATGATCTTAAGTCTTCTTTCAAAACTGCTTTACCTTCAATGAATACTACAGAAATACTCGAAGCCATATCCGAGTCAGGTATTAATAGTTTTATTGAATAACTAATTAGATAATTTCTTGTAATTGATACATTGATCTTTCGTAAAAAGAAATAAATAATATATTATTATCATATCGAAGTTAGGAAAGCGAGACCTTATTAGGTTTAGATGAGTTTGTTATGTTTATAATTTGAATTTTAAATGAACTATTTCTCCTTATTTTTGTTTTTATATAGATATTTCATTCCGTAAGTTATAATTCAAAATTTTTTCTCGAATAAATTTCATATTGTTGAGATGAAAAGAATCATTATGAATATGATATAATGTTGAATAGCTTTCTTTTGTCAAAATGTCTACTTTAATTATTAGTATTCTTGTATTTCTTATAAATTAATCAAATTATATAGTCTTATTCTAAGCTGATTTCAGAATTTCATTGTTTATTTATGCTATATTAGAGTTTTTTATTTTATTTTTCATGTTATTTTAACAGTTATTGGTGATCTTGTTCAACAGCGCTTAAATGTTCTTGCACATCTCTATTTAACTATTCAAAATCAACTTTCAAAATCGAATCTTCTTCAATTAGATGTATTTCCATTACCTAATATTTTACCAATAAACAGTTCTCATCCACATATTCGTCGTTTAATATTTTTACGTCAATATGAAATGTTATATTCTTTACGTTCAATTCAACAAACACGATTTGACACGACTGAATCACCTATTCTTATTCGAATAATCGATAAAAAACCTATTGATAAATATAATAATTTATTGGAATGTCAAATTGAACGTGGTCAAGAAATAATCTCAAAAAATTTAACTGAAAATGTAGTAAATACAAGTCTTTTTCGTACATATCCATACTTAATTTCCAAAGATAATTATTCCATTCGAACATTTCCTGATGCAGTTTATATGGATTCAGCTATTGATGGTATTCGTTCTCGTACAAAACTTGATCAATGTGGTTTAGCTCATGTAGAACAAAATGAAGAAAGTGAAACGATATTTATTCGAGTTAAACTTTGTAATTTTTCTTTTCAAATTAATCAACAATATTATTTAAGTGAACGTTATGTGGATTTTAATACTAAAAAAGCCATTCAAGCATTAGAACAAGCAACACCATTGACAACACAAATATTAGATGATCCGAGACAATTGAAAAAACCTGAAGTCATTCAAAAATCAAGTCAAAATTTACAACAAGAAATAATAAATATGTTTTCTAAAATCGAACCTACGATTAAACCTGAAGGATTACATATGCTTAATAAAGCACAACAATTGGCATGTGACAAAGTTAAAAACAATCGTATCACACTTATTTGGGGACCACCAGGTAATAAGAACTTTCATCAAATAGAAATATAAAATAATAAAAAGGGAAATTATTACAAAAATATTCTAAAAACTAACTAGTCGTTTTAACAAAAGATTTCACAATTTAATACAAGTGTGAGATGCATCATTGGATTAGTTCTATACGAATGAATCTGTTAAATTGATGGCTTTCATAATATTGAAAACAATTTGAGCTGAAACTTAGCCTATTTGATAATACATTAAAATAATAATTGTGACTTGATTTTTGTTCAGAATGAATGATAACTAACTGACTGATATTGAACTTCATATAAGAAAAATAAAAAACAAAATTAAGATAATGACATCCTTGTATTTCAATTTTAAGAAAGGTTGTTTAGGTCTACTAAAAAGAACGTTTTTTTATCTTTCGAAATATTTATCTTGAACTGATTAAAGAGTATTTTTAATTTCGAATAGAACGTGCAAAAATAGGATTAATACCGGAGCTCTACAAATGAAATATGCTTTTCTTACTTGAAAGAGAATTTGTCATTAGATATTTGAGTTGATATTTTGAGATTCCTGCTTTGAATAAACAAATTCATAACAATAAGTGTTATTATTTATTTTTCTATTATGATTTCAATTAACTATTAAATTCTATAATCTATATATGATTTTTTTTCTAGGGACTGGTAAAACTTATTGGTCTGGTGTAACTGTTTTTCAGATGTTAATGTTTTCTGCATCACCTTTACGTGTATTAATTACAGCTTGTACTCATACAGCAATTAATAATCTTCTTTCTTCAATAGAACATCTAAAAAGACTCTTTTCGTCATCACCACAATTTCCTCAATGGTATAAATTAGCTAATGAATTAGTTATATTAAAAATTGATTCAAATAATTATCGTGATCTTTCATCTTGGAAAAGAGAACATTCAATAGTTGTTGGATCAACAGGATGGACATTACAAAAACTTGATCCTTCAATTGTTTTTGATGTTATTTTTGTTGATGAAGCAACACAATTATTGACAAGTGACGCTGTACTAGCACTTAATCGTTTAGATAATCATGAAGAATCTCGATTGATTGTCGCTGGTGATCCATTACAACTACCACCTGTTAAACGTTGTATTTATCCAGCTTTACCTTATCCTGTACCGGATCTATTTTCATCTCTTTTTCATTGTTTATTACGTGATGAAAATAATACACCAATATCATTACATACAGAGAAACCATTCGAACAAATATCGCGTTGTCCATATTTATCTATTTTTAATGAAAATCATCGTAATTCTAATTTTATTATTTGATTTTTTTTCAATTTTTTATCATTTTCTTTTTGTCTTAGGCATGAATGAGCCATTATCAGATTTTACTCGTCTTCTATATGGTGAAAATTATCGTCAAGGTCGTAAAAAATCTTTACTTTCAATTCGTTCAATTGATAATTTACATACACATCTTCTTGGATCTCTTCTTGAAGTACATAATTCACTTTATACTTTTTTTGTTGATTCTTTATCAACAAGTTCATTTTCGTCACGTGCTGAAGATCTTCGTCTTGAATCACATCTTGTTTATTCTCTTGTCAATGAACTTATTTTACGTATATCTCCTTCATCAATATTCATAATAACTCCTCATCGAATGCAACGTTCTGCTATTCAACAAAAACTTTCAAGAAATCCATTTTCAAATGTTTCAATAACATGTGATACTGTCGAACGAATGCAAGGAAAAGAAGCTGAATGTGTCATACTCTGTATGCTTTACAGACAACATGAAATTCTTGAAAATGAATTAGATTTTATTTATAATCGACAACGTATCAATGTTAGTATAACACGTGCACAGCAGCTATGTATTCTCCTAACATCACAATTATTATTTTATCAACCTCCACTAGAATTATTTGTTAATGGAAATACAAGAAATGCTTATACTTTATTGAATAATTATGTTAATAAATCTACTGTGCGATTATTGGATAGTGATGGAAATATAAAATAAATGAACAAAGAATAATATAAAATTAATTTGTTTTTTTATTTCAAACATTTAACGAAAATTTATGTCATGTATATAGCTATTTGTCTTGAGACGTACACAGATTAAAGAGAATAATTTATTATTAGAAACAATCGTCTTTTAAAATTGATTAGAATAAAACATTTATAATCATTACGAGTATAACTATATCCTAGATCTCTAAAAACTCAAATTACATGAAAATATTCTTTTCATTTATATTTCATAGAAATTCACCGTAAATTTATTTCCGATATAAAATGATTATTACAATTGATGTTTATTTTGAAATATATGTTTGTCTTCATAAAACAAAATATAACTGCAGTTTATTGTAATATGCTGTTAGCACATTCTATCTATTGTAGCATTAATTTAATTTTTATCATCAAACAATATTACTTTTTTTATATTAGCCAGGTGTGTGTTTTACTTTACTCTCAGTGAACAACTTATTTATATGATATTGATTGATAACATTCGTAAATGTAAAAAATAGGACGTTTTTTTATCATGTTCAATTTTTGATATCTAGCTCATAGCAGAGATTGGCAAAGTTGTTAGAATAGGTTATACTTGAAATCGATTATATCTATTTCTACATCAAACATATATTTATAATGAGAAGAAGAAGAGAAAGTAAATATTGTTGACCACATCAATTTATGGTAATACTTTTTATGTATATAAAAAAGAAGCAATTATTTTGACAGTTGATTCTTTTTAACTATAGTTTTCTTATATCAATTTCACTTCAAATACGAAAAGGCAACTTTATCTGTTAAGATTATAACTACTAGGTATTCAATGTAAAAAGTTACACATATATATGTTTCACTGTAATTTATTTATTTCCAACCAAAAAAATAAAATGTAATGATTAATAAACTGGTTAATAATATTTAAAAGAAACATTTTTAATCAAAAATACGCTCCTGCGATTTCCCAAATATATAGTATGTCGTTTAGTTTAATGATGATAATTAGTTTCAATTCTTTGAAATAATTCCACCAGAACACACATTACAATTGCATGATTTAATACGTCGAATTTGTACCGTTTTTTGTTCTGTTACCGTTGGTGAACCATTGGCAAAACAATCGAAAACAACTGACTGTACATATGTTTCTCCGACTGAACAGCAAGTGCATTGACGCATACTATCAGATTCACATTGTCCACTGCATCGTTCTCGAGGAAAACTATCACGTGATGTACATTGACCATTATTCACTTTCAATGGACTACTATCGAATTGTTGTACTGTACAGCGAGTTGTGTTTGTTATTGGTGCTGTTGTTGTTGTTGTTGTTAAACATTGATTATCAGATAATTTCAAACCATCAGCTGTACAATGAACAATATGACAGCTATCTCGTGTGCGAATCATTGTGCCTTGATCTACAGTATCATTAACATAAATGATATTTCGTGCTTGAGTAGTACCATTCGAATACGTATCGACATAACCAATTTCTTCTACAAATAAAAATCGCCCTGTATACTATGATTATGGATATTATATTTCTACTTACTATCACCGACTGGTTTCTTGTTAAATATACGAACATAAAATGCTTCATCAAGTAAACATTCACAACGACGATCACTACAAGATTGATGTTCGATTAATTGTGCTTCAGTACAACTCTTTGATGAGCTTCCATTACGAGTGCGTGTTTTAAAACCAATACCACACGTACGACTACATGGACTCCATGCAGACCATTCTGATAAAACACAAGGTGTACCAGTTGTCGTTGTTTCAGCGACTACAAAAAAAATAATTATAAATATACAAGAGAAAATGTTAAATATATGTATCCATACCAAAAGACGAACAAGCAAAAACTTCAACATGAAGATTCTTTACATCACTATTTGGTGTTATACGAATCTTTGTAGCATTCAATGTAGTTAATAGTATAATTTCATTATTTACTATGACACTTGGCTAAAAAAACATAACATATATTCTCCACTTAATTTATCTCCTACAAAACATACATTATTATAAGCACTCAAACGTGGGAACACATCCGACGCTGATTGATAATATAAACGCCAATCTTTCAAATTTTCGGCTGTTACTCGAATACGGCCAATCTGAATCAAAAGAAACAATTCAATAATATGTTACTCATCAGATTTTCTTCGCTACTCTACCTCAACAGGATGACGGAAGTCAATATTC